CAAGTTTCATTGTAATGTTGGCTGAATCCATATTCAGTGTTTAGAATACTATAGCAATGTAAATGAAACATATATTAGATTTCAATGACTTTTTCTTTTGTGTACAAATTTTGGGGTCCTGTCTATGTAACAATTGCCTTGTTTTATTTGCTTTTCACTCTCAAATGCTTTATCATTGGTCTAAAATACTTCCCAGTGATTTTGCATGCATCATGGGTATTGACATTTTATTTGCTGGAGAAGGTCCCTCCTAAGCCTCCTGTCCTGCTCCAGCCTGGACTTGTTCCCATGCTCTGTGTACTTCCCTCTAAGCTGAGATCACTTTTATGATCACTTTGGTGGTACCCTTTGCCTGTCCCTCATCCTGGCTCTCATATTGCCTGTACTGGGTCTTCCTTTATATTGATTTGCTCTCTAGCTTTGGAGGATGTATCCTCCAGGAGTTTCCAGGAAAAGGGGACAAAGAAAATAAACAGTTTTTGGAGACTTTGCTTGCCTATAAAATCTGTATGCTGCCCCTTGACTTACAATGGTAAGTCACAGTAAGTTGAAAACATCATCGGTCAAAAATGCATTTAATAAACACAACCTACTAAACCTCATAGCTTAGCAATACAGTACTGTGTAGGGCTTTGGCTGTTCATTCTTGTGATTATGTGACTCACTACTGGCTGTGGTAACTGCTGCCACCACTGCCCAGCATCCCTACCCCAGGAAAAGACCACACTCCAGAAAAATCAAAGTATGATATCTATTACATTGTCAGTGCTTTCGCACAAGTGTAACATCAGATAATCATAAGTTGAAACACCATAAGTCAGGGACCACTTGCACTTGAATACCCAGAAAGAGTTCTAGGTTAAATGTAGTTTTCCTTCAGTGAGGCTAATCTCCCTGTTTTCAATAGAGTGTGCTCATCTCAAATGTCCTTGGTATAGATACAGCTCAGAGATCTTGTTTTATGCTCTTCAGAGAGTGTAGCTCCTCTTTTCCTGGGTGGTTGCCCAGTTACATAAAAAGAGAGTTGATCTGAGAGGCTGAAATTTTTTTTCTCAATACTAGGGCCTGGTACATCCAAAGCAAACTTTTTACCACTGAGCTCAGAACTTGGAATTTGCATCTTTTTTTTTTTTGTACCAGGGACTGAATTTGGGTCCTTATGCTTGTGAGGCAGGCTGTCAGCCAAATTCCCAGCCTGGAATCTGGATCTTAAACTGAATTTTAACCATTTTCCTTCAGCGGCACCTGGGATTGCACATCCCAAGTACAAGTCACATCTACTCTGATATTCCTTCTGCTCTTGTTGTAATCAGTTCTCATTGGTTTGTAAGACTTTAGCAACATTTCCACCTACTTTGAAGCTTCCCAAATGATTTTTATTTTCCATTTTATCTATTATTATGAATCAAAAGCCTTAAAATAATTTTAAATAGTCTCTTTATAGTTAATTTAGAGGAGTTTTGAGGAGGAGGAGGGAATGTCCTTGTCCCTCCGGTTGACTTTTGGTTGAGAATAGCAGTTTCAGATTTTTTAAATTTTTTAACTTTTTTGCAATGGGATCCTGACTTTGAAATCTTCTGTGGAAGCTCAGCCTATAAAATATCTATAAACAGAATAGCTCCGTTTGATGAGGGTTTGTGGTTTTCCTTTCTCAGTTCTCTTCTTACCCCTGCTGTTCTATGAAGACCCCATGGAAAGCATGCTGTGTAAACCCGTGACATAGAAGTTGTGGGACATGATTTACCCTGAGAAACATTGGACATCGAGTGAAGTTTATGATGTCATGGAAGGAGCACTGACTTGTTGTTTTAGAGATCAATTTTATTGCTCCTGATTGCTCAATTCATACAAGAAAAAGAGAAAACATTATAACAGATTAGAATAAAAGTAGACTGAGAATCTTTTGGCAGACTAATGCTACAATTGTAAAAATAACTTTTTTTTTTTTTTTGGTTTTTTGAGACAGGGACTTACTGTATAGTTGAGACTGACCTTGAACTCGCAATGTAGTCCAGGTGAATTCACAGCGATCCTCCTGACTCAGCCTCCCGAGTGCTGGGATTACAGGCATGCACCACCACACCTGGCTTTGTAAAAATAACTTTAAGGCACTGTTTTTTATTTGAAAGCAAAATGTGTAAATTGAATATGAAATAATACAAACTACCCTTACACATTTTGCTAATTGAACATGCTAGGAATTTTCAAATTTACTTTCAGAAAGCTGAGATTCTACTTTATACTGGATTGCTAGTTGAACCAATGTTTTATCCTGAATTATTTACCTATTTACCTAAATTAGTTACTCAAGTTATTTACCTAACTATAAGAATGAGAAGAAGTCTACAGGGCCAGGAAAACAATATTCAGAGCTAATTCTGTAGGGAAATCATTACATTTATGCATGGCTTAGCTTAATATTTCGTCTAGCTATTAAAAACATTGTTATTTCCTTCCTCCTCCACCTTCCTCTGGCACAGACCATCAGTTACTTGATGAGACTCTGGTAGAATGTGGAAGTGCATACGCACTCAAAGTCTGAAGGAAAATGAGCAACAAGATTTGCAAGCCCTGTCAACTGGAATGTATATGGTCCAGTGCATTCTTAAAGGTAATAAAAACCAAACCAAACTGAACAAAACAGAGAAACAAACAAACAAAAAAATGAACAGAAACAAACCAAAAACCATTACTAGTACAGAGAATTAAAATGGAAGACAGTACAAATATCATTTTGCAGAATCTCCTACCTGAAATTCAGCCTCCTAATATTATTTGTTTGACAGAGGACACAGGCATCACCTTAATGACAAATTTTGCCAATCAGCACAGAAAGGAATCCATTAGCTTCATTTGCAGGGAGAGATTGCTTCAGAAAAGAAAAGAATTGACCCAAATTTTTACAAGAAACACCTGGTAGGGCTTGGGATTTGGCTCAGTGGCACCATTGCCTACCTTGTAGGTAAAAGGTCCTGAGTCTGATCCTCAGTACTGGGTTGGGTGGAGAAAGAAACACCTAGTACTTTGATTGCTAGTTCCTATCTGAAGGATATGGAAGACAACTAAAGCTATTGTCCAACTTGTGGTATATTTTGGAGGCTGGCTATGAATGGGACACAGCAAATTATGAGACAGTAAACCACTGAGAAATGCACAAATCAAGGCCTAAGGGAAGGAACCTGTTCTGCCTTCTCATAGAAGGGAATTCAGATATGAGAAGACAGATATGCTGTGGAGCTTTACACTGCACAGAAGCAGAAGTCCTGGGGAAGGGAGAATGGTTGTTGCTTCAGTGGCCATAAAATAACACGGCAGTGCTTGTGAACACATAGTGCACACTTGGTTACACAGGGCCACCATAGGGTGTGTGCACTCTGGCCTCAGCTTGATTGCCAGTGACATCATGAAGTTGGCCATTCACCAAGGGATTTCGAGAAAAGTCAAACTGTTGTGAAACACGCAGAAACCATTCATCTTTTCTTCTCCAGGAAGTAGCGGGGGGCGGGGATTGTGCAAAGAACTGAGTCAAATAAGACACTGGAGCTGGCTATAAATTGTGGATCAGATTAGATTATCTGTGCTTTGATAATCTGTTGAAAGTTTACTAGAAAACAGAGTAGCTCTTTCATCAAAAGCTGTACTTGAGCATCACCTGAGATCTCTCCTCCACATGTGCACTCTATTTCTTGTAAGCTTTTCACATATAGACCCTCACCTGTTGAATATTGAGTGATGCTAAATGAAGTTGGCATCAAGGTTGCTCCTGTGGGTTGTCAGGGAGGACCCTGACCTCAGGATCTCTGACATTTGAATGGAGGATTCCTTGTCTTTTCTGTCCACACCTCTGCTTGATGGGACCCTGCTTCTTCCACTTCTTTTTTGTTTTTCTTTTTTTTCTCATGTGCATGTGCTTTTTTTTTTTTAAAGCCTACCTCAGTTGGACTCTTGCTCATGACTCCTGGAGCCTGGTTGGTTGATCTGTACCAATGTCACTTTGTGTGGTTGGTGACAGCACCGTGTGGTTGTTGGTGAAGGCAAGATGCTATATGTGGAGTCACTTTATGAAGGGCAAGGCTGTGGAAAGTTGGATGTTACTGTCTTAATATTGCTATAGGACAGGGATCATACTACATGGGGCAGGCCTTCTTTGGGCCGGCTTGGATCTGAGCACCTCCTCTTGACATGCCACCAACACTTGCTTCCCTGGCCCCTCCTGGGATATACTTTCTAGGACATTTTTCCTTCTCTGTCTTCTCTTTTTCCTCATATTTATCTATCTACTCTCTCTTGTCTCCACAGAGCATGCTTAGGCTCTGATTTGCCAAAAATATTGGAGTTAAGGAATTCATGGCTGACAGATTTGATGTGAAGAAGGGAGTTCACATTTTAGATATTAATAATTTTAGGTGGAGACACCATGAACTCCAACACAGAGCCAGACAGTAGAATTTTTGGCAGTATGAGATGTCATTGGTAAGGGAGACTTTTCCTAAGAATACCAAGCCTTGTGTATACATCATGATGAGACCTTATCCCACTTATTCAGGAGGTGAGCCTTAATATGGTGTCTAGAGGCTGATAAATAAGCTATCTGCTGAGGACATGAAAGGTCAGGGAAGTTTTACGTTTTGGGGAGAGAAATAAGGGAATCAGCATGTTTGAGGAAAAGTTAGGACATTTAAGAAACAAGTACAAACAGAAAATAACTATATGAAAAAAATGTTCAACATCACTGGTCATGCAAAATGTTATTAAAACAATGGTGAGATTCCATCTAACTCCTGAAAGAATAGCTATTATCAAGGAATCAACAAATGCTGGTGAGGGTGTGGGGAAAAAGGAACCTTTCTGCATGGTTAGTGGGAGTGTAAATTCGTACAACAAATATAGAAATCAGTATGGAAATTCCTCAAAAAATTAAAATTAGGGGTTATATTTGACTCCACTAGTCCCCTTTAGGTATCTTCCCAAAAGAGTTAAAAGCCTTATACCACAAGGATATATGCACACCCCCACCTTTTTTTTTTTTTTTAACTTGGGACCTTGCACTTTCAAGGCAGGTGGCAGAACCACTGAGCTAAATCCCCAGCCCTGCACATCCGTGTTTATAGCAGCACAATTTATAACAGATAAATCTTAGAAAAAACCCAAGTGAATGGATAAAGAAAATGTGGTATTTATATGTAGTGGAGGTTACTCTGCCATAAAGAAGCATGAACTTAGACATATTTAGAGAAATGGTTGCACCTTGAGGCCATAATTTTAGGTGAAATAAATCAGACACACAAATTTAAATATTATATTGTTCCTCTTGTGTGAGAATCCCAAAGGGTAAACAAGGACCAAAATGGAGAACAGACATTGGAAATTAGGAAAAACTTGCTCAAATGGGAAGGGAACAAGAGAGGGAGGAAAAGGAAGAGAAGGAAGGGAAAAGGATAAAAAAGAGAATGGAAGGAAAAAATGCAAACAGAGCTCTGTAAATGGGAGAGGAAGGATTGAAGGGAGAGGAATGGGGAAACAAAGAAGAATTAAGATATGTACAGGTACAAATTCTCTTTGATAAATGTGATCATTATGTATGGCAAGCATGTACTAATAAAAAAGAAACTGTGCAGAACATGGGTATTTTCAGTCACCCATGGAACCTGTATCTGCTAATATTTCCCTGCACCTGGCTCTGATGCAGAACAGACCAATATAAGGTTACCCAAAGAGAGACAGGTATCACGGAGCTGGACGTGATTTACATGCCAATGAGATCGCAGTTATTCTCATTTCAAATTCTGGGGTACTGGGGCCATGCAGATGGCTGGGCTTTTGCATAAATCCAGAGAGAGGGGTTACAGAGTCTCTAGTGCCAACTGGGTGATTTGTCTGGAGATTCTGTTTTCCCTGTGGGTGTGGCCCAGTGCCTTGGAGTAGGAGCTAATCTGGACAGGTCCTTTCCCCTCCCACATTGTTCTTTATGGTCGTGTCTTCTCTGGGGCCACTGGCTGCTGTGTTACAGAATGATTTCATGGTTGCCGTGCTGGGTAGGGAGTGATTACCATGTGGGACTCTGCCTGCAGCCGACATGATTGTGGCCTGCCTTGCCAATTCCCAGCTCTGCCTGCATGGGATAAGCATCCTGAACAACTTCCTGAACTTCTTTACTTTTTACTACAAAGCTAACTGTCTTGGCACTCTCTGGGACTTTGTCAACACTCTCACTTTCTGGCTTACTGCCTGGCTTTCTGTCTTCTACTGTGTGACAATCCCCACCTTTTCCCACCCAGTCTTCCTCTGGCTAAAGTAGATTTCTCAGGCAGTGCCTAGGCTTCTTCTGAGATCCTTGCTCTTCAGTGGCCTGTCAGTCATTTCGTCACCCACAGGGAATACAGTAGCCATTCAGACAATCATCTCCAAGAGTTCCCATGGAAACCACACCCCTTCTCAGAGCATTATGCATTTCTGTCAGTGGTACTTTTTCCGGCATTCAGCGGTTATGTGCTTCACTCCCATTCTTCTGTTCCCGGTGTCCAACATCTTGCTCATGTTCTCCCTGTACCAGCATGTGGAGCAGATGCGGGGCTGCATGCCTGGGCCTCATGATCCCAGCACCGAGGCTTACACCATGGCTCTGAAGTCACTCACTTTCCTCTTTATCTTCTATATACTGCATGTCCTGTCCCTGATCATTCTGTGATGCGACTCGTAGCCATCTGGAGTTACTGGTACTGGGTCAAGGAAATGGCAGCTTTTGGAAACCTCTTCTTGCAGTCAATTGTCCTGAGGTTAAGAATCACCAAGCTTAGAAAGGTCTTAAAGATGAGATTTTAGGACCTATGTGCTGCCTGTTTATAAGAATTTGAAGGCCCCGGGCAAAGGGTGGTTCCACTTTTAAGTGATCAGCATCGATAACCAGAACTGTGATAACTAATCTCATGCATAGCAAGAATTGTTAAGGTTTGGGTGCTTTCTCTCTTTTCATTTCTTTCTTTTTTTTCCCCTCCACTTCTTCCATGACCCACAAACTCTTTTTCCATCTCTCTGTGTTCCTATTGTCCTCTGCACTGCTGCTAGTCTCTGGTCTGTGTCTCACATTTCCTTGGCCCCATCTCCTCGCAGGCCTCTCTGATTCGATACTCAAGCAACCCTAATAATATTCTTCAAATATCAGTTCGATGTGGACCTGTAACCATCATCAATTGTCTCTCGGGAAGCTAAGGTTGGTGCTTATCAGTGGCACAGATTCCCCAGTGCCTCTCCTCACTTACCACCCTGGTCCAAACTCAGTCTCTGAGCAGACCAGTCCCTTCCATCTTCCTGCAAAGTCCTTCCCTCCCACCTTTGTTCTTTGGACCACCAAAAAGAACTACAACTTCTCTATTCTCCCTCCCTCCCTTCTGCCTTCCTTCCTCCTTTCCTTCCTTCTTTCCTTTCTCTGCCCATCTTTGCCACTTTTGTGCCCTGTTTAAGACTGATTCCACCCATGGAGGTTTTTCAGTTTGGTCCCAAGGAAGGTTGAGTCCACATGAGAGTTTTGTTCCACTGAGATCTCATCCATGACTTCACATGCTTCCCACATGCTGAGTTAAAAGGAGTTGTCTGCTGTGGAAGTGTTTTTAGGTTTAGGCTTACAGAAGGTAGACAGAACACAAAGGAGATTCCCCACATTCTGAATGTTGATTTCCTACCCTTCCAGTGTGCATACCCATGAAGTGGCAGCTGGTTGCTCTTCACCAGGATGGTGGTTTCCACACTGGAGCTTGTGCAGGATGAACCACTGGCATTAGGAAGAAAAACATGGCAACTTTAATTTCCATTTGGTTTAATATTCAGCTTCCTATTTCTGTGTGTATTTTATCTGTATAGAATGTATCAGTAACATAGTACATTCCTATACTATAATTAAATAAATATGTATATGCCAGTAACTTAATCAGCTTAGGCTGCTGAATCTTATAGACTAAGAGACTTATTTATTTATTCCTCACAGTTTAGAGCCTGAATCTCAGGGTGGCGGCACTATTAGCTTCTGGTGAAGGACCTATTTCCTTCTGTTAGAAGACAAATATCTTCTTGCTGTGCCCATGTATGGCAAAGAGATATATGTTTTGGGTTTCTTCTTATAAGGGCATTAATCCCACTCGTGAAGGCTCCACTCTACTTTTTTAAAAAAATTATTTTTGAGACAGAGTCTCACTATGTAGGTGGAGACAGACCTGGAACTCACTATGTAGCCCAGGCTGGTCTAGAATTCACAGCGATCCTCCTGCCTCAGCCTCTCAAGTGCTGGGATTATAGGCATGTGCCACCATGCCCCGGCTTTCTTTTGAGCTAGTTACCTCGCCAAGGCCTCATTCTCCAAATACTGTGTCCATGAATTAAGGCTTCAACATAATGGACTTTTGGAGAACATGATTATTCAGACCATAGAGTTTACAATAAGAAAGTAAAATAAAGGTAGATAATAGGAAGTAGGGAGATAGATTTTTCTTGAAGGGGAAGAGGATGAGGAAATGGAAGGAGGAGGAAGTAGGGGATGGTAAAGGGATGAAAAGGGGAATTGAGATGTGTTATATGCATGTATCAACTCCACACAAGGAATGTAAATATTACGTATTGCAAACATGTACACAAAAGGGAAGGAGATCAGGAGATGGAAGGAGTGGAAAGGGAGGGAAGGGAAAGGGGATACAAAAGAAATTAAGATGCATGATGAATTGATGTAACAATCTCCCATAAAAATATATACATTTTTTACTACAAAAATGTACTAACAAAAAAAAATTCCAAAAAAAAAAAAAAAAAAAAAAGTACGGAGGCCAATAGTCAAAAGGGATTGAGAAAAAGACCAGATACGGTCAAATGAGGTTTAATATGTAACAGGACAGAGCAGAGAGTGCAGTGAATTTCAAATAAATGATTGCATTTATGTTTTAATAGTAGCTTGAGTCCAAGCTAGAGCAAGAGGAGAAAGGAATGACTAGCGATGAGATAACAAGATAATGAGGTTTTTTTTCTTGGAAAGAGAAAAGTGAAGCTTTATTAATTTTTCAGACATTTTCAGTCACAGAACTTTATTTTTTAAACCAACTGTAAGTATCCAATGATTAAAGTTCAAAAACAAAAACAAAATAAAAGTGGATCCTAGACACCCATAGCTGGCTCTATCCTGTTCATTCTAGTAGCTGAAGAGGAATTCTACTGAATGTTAAACAAAGTGTGACTCTGGACTCAAGAAAGGGCCTTGTTATGGTGTTGGCCAGCCTTGAAGAAGCTGCCTGTGGCTTTCCCATTTAATGAGGGTCTGGTCTTAATTCTCAATGCATTCCTTTTCCTAAAGGAAAAAACTAGTAAAAAAATATTTATAGGAATGGTACATCATCTAGTAATCCTTACTATCATCTTAGAAAGTCTTATGAAATAAAAATGTGGACTATCTACCGGTGTAGTTCCTCTGAATAAATTATTGAAGGATGAATACCTTAAACTTTTTCTCCACTTGTTACTCTCCTGTCTCAGAAACCAAGAAAACAGCCACTGGTTACTAGTTTGATGACTAGTTCAAACAGGACTAGCAGGAAAGCTAACCCCTATGGCATATGACACAAGCACTTATTCATCCTTCAGTATTATCTGCACCAAGATAAATTTACACAAATTCTATTGCCTAGCCTTGGAAATATCTGAAAAATCAGGAGAAAAAGAGAGAAATCAGCACCCGTAACACAATTCATCTCGTCCTAGCCACCATGTAGGAAAAACTTTATTTTTTGACTTGTTTCACTTTTTCTTGGTCATCCACTTTCTTAATGGCTATCTGGATGGCCTCTTGCCCTGCCCCCAGGAACTGGTGAGACCCAGCACCAGGCAGATTCCACTCCTGATAAGAAGCACAGAGGACAGAGAGGAGAGGCAGGAGAGAGAGAGAGAGAGAGAGAGAGAGAGAGAGAGAGAGAGAGAGAGAGAGATCTGTGTCCATACTTAATTTTATAGACCCCCAGGGCCTATGAATTGTCCAATGTAGAGAACCCTTCTTATCATCATTATCAATACAAAGATTTTTATGTTTGCAGCACCACGAATGAGTTGATGGCTTTTTACAGAGGGTGACACTAAACAAGTGGGACAGACTCTTGTTGCTTGATTCTCAAGCCATCTATGGGTTCAATGGAGGCAGTGAAGGCAGAAGCATTCGGGTCTAAGCTCCACTGCTCCTCCCCAGCTAGGAAGCATTTAGAAGCCAGGCTGTCTGGCCCTGGGCAGAGCTGCAACACTGTGTTGAAGGTCTTTGGGTGGCAGCATGGGGTGCTACTCATGACCCAACATGTTTGTTCAACCCTTTGAGTTACCTTAAGTCTATTTGGCTTGTATCAGGGCTTCTTCATCTGTGGATGTTCTGAATCTCCTTTCCTGAACTCTGGCTCATAACTACCAAAAATGCTTGGTGGCTCCATCTTGACTCTACAGATATGTTCAGTATCTCCACCTACAAAGATAAAATCCAGTCTCTTATTCTAACTGTCTAGGAATTCTGTGATCTTTCTTCAGCCTACATTTTCTGCCCAATATATAACCAGTCCCTTAGGTGAATCCTCTGAGGTACCCAAGCTTACATATCTAACCATTCTTGACATAATCACATTTCCATCCATTTTACTGATGCTTTGTCCCCTTCCAACACCAAAACATCATCTTTCTTATTCTGCACTGTTGAAGCTTCTGCTGCCACTGAATTATTCTAAGAACTCTTGAGATGGGAAAGAATGATACATAATGTTTAAAATCACAGCATATGAGTCACTTTAAAAAAAAAGTATTTCTCTCTCTCTCTTTTTTTTTTTTGGTACCGGCGATCAAACATGGGACCTTGTGCTTGCAAGGCAGGCAATGGAACCACTGAGCTAAATCCCCAGCCCTAAAAAGTATTTCTATAGAGTACTGAGTTGAGAATTTTCCATTTGATTTATTGTGTTTCTATCCTATTACCCTTATGATTTTATATTATAAAAACTACAGCAAATTAAAAATTCTCAAACTTGTCTTCTTCCTAGGAAGATAAATTTAACTATAAGAAAACAAAATGCCACAAGCAACAAATACAAACAGCAGCAAAAAATTACTGTAGAGTACATTACATATTTACACTTCATTGACTGCCTTTTTGAATTAATCCACACATAGCATATGCTCAGGGAGTATTTGTGGTATATGACTAGGCTTGTAATTACATTGGGGGCAGATATTTTGTTCATTCTTATAGCCCAAATATTTTTCATAGAATTATTATACATAGGAGATACTTAAAAATTGATATGAGAATTTAGGGCTAACTACACAGCTTTCTAGTCTTACCAGTCCCTGAAGGTGTAGGATGTACAAGTTTTCCATATTGTGGGTTTCTGGCTGGCAAGACTTTCAGAGTTAGAAGCCTATGATTTGTCTGAGTCCTTCAAGTTCCAAGGTCAGCCAGAGAATCCAGGCCAAGGAAGAGGGCAGTTGGGAACTTTGCTCCCTAGAAATTTTAATTTTCACAAGAAAGCAGAGTGAGTACCGTTGTTCATTTTTTCCCTTTTCCTCAGAAACAGAATGTCCACTATAGCTGGCCTCTGTGTTGGAGAAACAGCTCTACCTGGAAGTGGATGGGGAGCAGAAAGAGATGCTGAATATGCTACATCCTGTTGTCTCTTTGTGGGATACTCTGCATGGACCTGGAAGGGCATGGTGTTGTCCAGGAGATGGGGTACCATAAAAACTCCCTCATTTTCATGTTGCTTGATCCTAGGGCTTTTGCACTGAGTCACACATTCAGCCTTGTCTATTTTTAATTTTTG